GTTCAGGTTTTAACACATTGCAGCCCGCGTGCATCGCCGGGTATGCACGCCAAAACTCCCACATCTGACATTTGTGCATCGCCGGGTATGCACATCTGTATTTTGCTCCCCCATGAACCTTTTCCAGTACTTCTTTGACTAATTGTCTTCTGTTAGTCTCATGAATCCGTAGAACGTGTGGCATGTCGACAACTTCAATTTCAACACAAACAATCAGATTCTAATACGCCTACCTACTGAACAACTTATCATCAATTACGAAATTTTCATGCAAATGCCGCTGACTGGAATATCGAAAAATTTCCTTGATCAACACGTTCTACTAGCTCACAGAAATACGTACGAAACCAAGCTAAACACTTATTGGACCTATGAACCGTAGTGACAAGCAAAACTTAAAAATTCATAATTGGTATGGGAACGAAAGCTCCCGCGCCCTTCCAACAAATCTGCTATGTGGGTCCCGTAATGGAAACGCACGAAATGTCCCACATATGAGATTAAAGCATCGCCGAGTATGCGCGCAATGCCAATGTGTGACTCAAGCGCCGAAGTCGCTGCGAGCGTCAAAGCCTGTTAAAGCAACAGTCCCAGCAGGGTGGGCGTGGTCGGAAACGGCTGCAATCCCCTCGGCCGATTCCCACTTCGGAGCTGTTCAGCCCCTAGTCAAGAACGTAAGAAGTGTGACTGAACAAAAACTCACCTTGGAAAGCCGCTAGGCAGGGAGCTGAAGTGGGCGTGGTCGGAATCGGCCGAGGGGATTGCAGTCGTTTCCGACCACGCCCACCCTGCTGGGACTGTTGCTTTAAGTTAGATGGTACCGTACTAAATCTTCATATCGCCACAGCACCGCGCTGCGACTGCGTCTTTGGCGGCGCTTACGTCTCTTCCTTCACCGCGCGATGGGCCTCTTGAGGGACACCCTATGACGACGAAAGGCGGCGCCAATTTTGCCACAAAACGATAGTGCTAATTAAAAAACGTAAGCAAAAGGACAAAAGGAAGTAAGCTATATAATAGGTAACCAAACAGTAAGCAAACGATGTCAAAGTTTTAAGACATGTTGAAAAGCACTTCATGCACAGCATCTAAAGCCAATTCATTGCCGAATGCAAGTACGAATAATGAATTTATTTCTATGGAAGAGGCAGTAGCAGATGGTCCTGTTTCCATATGCCTGGTGCGATGATCACGCTCTCAATATTCTTCCGGGTCCATAAAGCCATTCAAAATAAATAGTAGGTTAATTTGGTCCGGAATCCATCAATAATGGTGAAAATATTGACTTTTTACCTGACTAAGTAAAGCAGGTCATTACGTGAGCAAGAAAAGTTATAACTTTTCTGAATGGAAGCTGAGTGCGCGGCCGGGGTGCCAAGTCCGGTCCGTATTTCAAAAAGAAAATGATAAACGGCGCTTTTATCATTATATCGTCATAGTTAGGTAATAAAATTGGTTGGAATTCGAAGTTTGGTCTTCCCCCTCTCGCAATTTCGAACTTCTAACTGTAAAGGAACAAGGAGAAATGGTTTGGATTCTGGTTGGAGAAAACCAAAATAAGAAGAATAGTAAGGAGCCCAAACTCAAGCGAAAGCACTAAATGCATAGCGCTGCACCTTGTTTTTGTTTGTTAACTGCTGTTTTTGGCCGCAGTTCGCCTTGCGAATGTTTCACAAGAATGCTGGGTTGTGAACAAAACTTTCGCCCCAGGCGGGACTAGAACCCGCACCTCTCGCTTTCCGGGCAAGTGCGCTACCAGTTACGCTACCGGGGCACCATTTCATTTCGTTCGTGTGAGTGCTGAAAGCTATGGTACGTATACCATGAAAAGCTGAGTTGGAATGAAATGGTGCCCCGGTAGCGTAACTGGTAGCGCACTTGCCCGGAAAGCGAGAGGTGCGGGTTCTAGTCCCGCCTGGGGCGAAAGTTTTGTTCACAACCCAGCATTCTTGTGAAACTATCGCAACTAGTTTTCTGGGACACGTCTCCAGAAGCCGGTTCCCACACTAAATGACTGCAGCTACCGTATTGAAGATGGCGACTGTAAGGACGAATTTGCGTTCACGCATACGTCGACAGAAAGCGATGCATCTACAGTTGCGTTCAAAGTCACGGATGGCACATCATCTGAAAAATCACTGCGGTATCAAATGTGCAACAAGTTCTGATACCTTTTACAGTTTGACAAATCAATATGTTCTCTATTGCGTTGGTGGCACAATACCGATAGCGCTCGCATTCGGCAAAAACGTCCAAAACAAAACCCAAAAGCAAAGCCAAGCATAAAACTAATCAGTGATGTTCTTCTCGTCATTATATACGACTTTAATCCCATTTCACGAAAGATTGCCGGGTCCAGAATTTAAAAAAGGGTACGAATGAGCCGTTTTAAAGAGTCTCATCATTCATATGTCACGTGCATGATTCGTGATGAGATCGTCGGGCGAATTCATTGAGTTTAAGACAGATGTGCTTGGTTCGAAAAAATATTTTTGATTACGAAAAATGTATAAAATTAGAAAAATTGATAGTTTGGCAGCTTTTTTATTATATAGTTTTTGCCCCACCCTGAGTGATAAAGAAAATTCTATATTGTAAATGTACTCAAGATATGGGCGCTTAGGAAGTTGAACCCAGGTTGGCTCCCCACTTTCTTCACGATTTGGGGCGCGGCCGCGGCAAACCCGCGGCGTTTCGCGGCCGAGTAGTGCGGCATCAGCTTGCCTGAGTATTCGACGTTACATTACGTGTTAGTTCATCCGATCGTAACGACACGTAATGTAACGTCGAATACTCAGGCAAGCTGATGCCGCACTACTCGGCCGCGAACGCCGCGGGTTTGCCGCGGCCGCGCCCCAAATCGTGAAGAAAGTGGGGGAGCCACCCTGAGTTTCCAACTTCTAAGCACCATATCTGAGTACATTTACAATATAGAAGAAAATAACAAACAAGGTTTTGTAGAGCGGAAGAAGTACTTTCAAATGATATATGTGATTTCCTTGGTAGTACTTGTATTCACTGAGTTTGTAGCTCGAGAAAAAAAAACGCTACGTTATTATGCACCAACCCAATATTTTGTGAAAAAAAAAGAACAACCAAATAAATGTACGCATGAGGCTGTCTATTAGGGTTTCTAAACTAGCCACGCAATTCTCTATAGTCTGTTTCAAAGGAGTGGGAGGCATCCAAGTCAAAAAAGGCATCGATTTCACTCTCCAGTGTCAGGTCGCCGAAGGTTTTTCTACGGGCCCTTGTTCTGAAAGAAAACAAAATTCGTTCAAGAGAACTGGTCTTGAGAGCACTATGAATAGTGAAAGAGCTTCCGACTGAGCTCGAAGTCTATTTTTGCGCCTTAGGCTACGAGGTGACAGTGCGCGACTCAAAGTGAAGGTGAGCATGAAAACAAAGTATCGACTTGTGGCGCACTCCTTTCTCATTCTGGGAGGAACTAAATATTCTTAAGGCATCGAAGCTGAGCCGTGGCTTTAAATTATTCAACACCACCAGCAATCTATCCCACCCTTGTGTTAAAGAAATGATAAAGTAAAATACGAATGAATGCGAATCTCAAGAAATCCAAACGAATAAAAAAACCCAACCCTCTGATAAATACTTCCCCGCAAAAACACTGAAGAAAAGATAGCAATTATTGTAATGTAATTCCTGGACTATTTTTTCCTTACAATTTTCCTAAATATTCTTATGAGCATTGGGCCATGAAAGAATGTAGATATCCTTAGAGAAGTCAGAAAGGAGATTTAAAGCAGAAACTTGCGATCAATGTGAAAAAGTCTCAAACACTTGGCGCCAAGTAGCTAAGAAAGGAATGTGAAATTCGGAAAACAGAACTGAAGTCCCACATGACTTCGATTAAACTGTTTGTCGTAACCACCCATATTTTTCAGAAATTTATCATTCATCTAAGTATTATTGCGATAAATTTCGCGATGACGTCACATTCCATTCGTTACTGTCGAGTGATGTCTGTGATTATCGAATAGGTGTCGTGATGCAGGGATTGAGAAAAAACCGAAAAAAACAACATAGAGCTCAAGAAATCCCAAACGATCCTTTCGCCTTCAGTTTTACGTCTTAGGCGTATTTCATCGGTGCTGACCCCATCATGCTAAGAAGGGAAAAAAATAGGAAAGATAGACGGAGACCCCCGTAAGCAGTGCAATCCAAACACGCAGTCGCACACGAAGGAACCGCGGCGATTCGGAGTATGGACGTCCCGCCGCCGCTAACGCCGCTGCCCTCCCACCCTTCACCGTCTGGCTTCTGTCACCTAGCTGAGTGTGAACGTTGATGAGGTCAGCTCTGATGAAAGAATCAACGACCAAAAGTGGTTCCCATTTCTGGGATTCTAGGTTGGTTTCTTTGTTCTCTTAAAGTAGTACATACAGTAGTAACAATGGATTGTTACCTTCTAAAACAGCCCTCATATACAGTCCCATATTCTGCCACATTATATATTTGGAATCTTTCGTTCTCAAACTTGTGTAGAGTTAAGACAAAAAGTGCAAATTCAAAGGCGTGGAAGAGAGAGTTATAGAAAACATCCATGCGATTATGCCATTCTTTGAAATATTTGGTGCAATACTAATCGGGGAGGGAGGAGGAGGAAGGGGGTGTCGATTTTTGATTGCTCACCCACCCCAAAAAAATTCTCTATTATCCCGAGGTTTCTCCTTCCCCGTGAGGCTCAGTCTAAGTAATACTATTCAGTGCAATACTAGTCGGGGCGGGTATGTCAATTTTTGATTGCTCACCCATTCCCGGAGTTCCTCCTTTCCTCTAAAGCCTAGTCCGAGTAAGGTGTTTTTAAATGAAGTTCCCTCTATTCAAAAAACGGAATCTCTCCCCCCCCCCCGACTACTACTGCAGCTAGTGGTGTTCAAACCGGGTTCAAATAATCTTCTATTTCTGAAATAATTCTGAGGTATTTGAGGAATTTGGAAAAACAGTCACGATATGAGTCATGAAAAGCGTCACCTGCGTTAACTAGCCAGCACGCATGTGACACGACGAACAGCCACAGAGCCGCTGAGCTGGTCATTGTAGCCTGGTCGAGAATTCTGACGGTAACACGGTGTGAAGGCGAATGCTGGAGCGGATAATTACCGAGTATAGAGCTTCGTGATTCGAGAACCGAGCTGAACTATTGATTGATGATGAGAGCGCTCTCAGATTATTACAACCACTGAGCAGGAAACATTTGCATAGAAACGATCGCTGATTTACGGATTTGCACTAGAAATAGGTTCCAGAGAGGCCAACGACTCACCTCCTAGTATGGCTTGTCGATCCAGAAACGTAGAATTATGGAGGGAGTCCGATGTCTGATGAGTACACCTAATGAAGAAGATTCAAATGTCGGGAAGTGGAGCAAGAAGGGGCGGTACCATCATCATCAAATCACCTGCTCCTCACATGATTCACTCAGAAATGCTGAACTCAGAAATTTTCATTCACATCCCACTTTACTAAACTTATTGAAGCAAACTTCATTGTGGATCGCACTAATTCAGTTAATTATCGACGATTTAAAAGATTAGAAGAGATGAAATACAACTAGCTAGCGGTTTGTTCCACAGTTGCTTAGGGTTCTTCAGTAGAAGCTAGGCTTTCGTCATGAGATCACTTTTCTGGTCGTGCAGTACATATATACATATGAAACCCTTCCTTAGGCAGAGGTTGGTTGGTGAGAAATGATGTACCATAGTGGTTGCACAGTCTACAGGATCGATGCCGCTTAGGCCAACTACGCTTCTCAGTCCTTCTTGATCGATCACATGAACACACTTATCTGGAAAGGACCGTTTTAAGGTCGAATGACCAGAGGCTGTACCTTTTCTTCCCCCAAGGGGACGCGTCCCCGTCGCTGGTTCTATCCTATGCTTGGGGAGGACGCGCTTGAATTGGAAAGTGAGCATCCGACCTTTGAGGCATGAAACCGGAAGACGCTTGCCGCATCTCCAGCCGGCTAATTGGGGAGAAGGTCAGAGAAGATTACTCTGGCGTTCAACCAGAGCACTAGGTGCGATGGAAGTTGTCCGTTAGATTAGAACAGTTGTGGCAAGAGTACGCTATGTAGATTTATATCAGCTGGGATAGAAGAACTCTGGAAAGGATGACCTTTGAAGTCTACTCAGACAAGGCAGAAGTAGATTTGGCTCACCTCTGAATTATAGCGTAATCCTTGAGGGCAGCTGTGACACCTAAGAGGAATTATCACGCCACTCCTTGCGTGGAGGCGTCGGCGTCGTTCCACGAGTGCCACATAGGTTTTGTTTGGTTTCGAAGCAAATGGTTACCCACGTTTCCCCATTCCAACATTTACAGGCAACATTTGGGATTGGGACAACTTCTGGTTTCCTTCAAAGGCCATTGTGCACACTCAACCGATACCAATGCTCTACAAATTTAACCACCTTCTGAAGGCGTTGAAGGGTGAGGCGTGAAAGCCATTAAAAAGTTCCAAGTTACCAAGGAGAGCTATAAAAAAGCGATTCTCGTTTCTTCAGGCAATAGCGGAGCAAAGAAGATTTGGTTTACCAACTTTTTTTGCGCCTAGATAAAAGTAATTCTTGAGATCTTCTTCGCTTCAGGACCAAGTATTGGAAGAGCTCCAAATAATATTGTCCCAGCTTAAAGATAAAGGAGAACAAGGGGACAGCCAATGGATAATAAAACAAGTGCAGGCTAAATTCCCCGAGCGCATCCAGAAGGGAGTCCTACAAAAGAAGTATTCCATGGAAGAATCGTTTCGAATGGATGATTTCCTATCGTGTTTGGATAAGATTGTTTTCCATGAAGGAAATCTTCTCATCACACTTGCCTTGTATCGATGACTTTTCATCTATCAAAAATTTCATTATGTGCTGTGGTGGCATCACAAAATTTGGGACACCTCAAGTACGAGCTAAAGTACTTAAGCGACCACAAAATGTGCTTCATCTGCGCGTCTCCTCAACAAATCATTTCAGCATGTAAGAAACGCCTATGCTTCACCATGTCAGGGGAGACACCATACGTTCGTGCTGCTTCAATCAGCTTGGGCACAAAACTACTGTATCTCTCAGAAACCAGGGCCCCTTCCTCAGATCTAAGGGATAGGTTTTTCCTCTCGCACACCACCAACTCTAGCGCGCACACCTGCTCTCCAAAGTGATCAAAAAGTATACAAGTGTGCTACTTCGACTGGTATCCTTCCCATTGTGAGAAGGCGCCTCGCGATCGTAGCGTACTCAGCACTGCGAATGAGGACTGAAAAAGTTTTTTTGGAAAAAGAACAAGCAACGTAGCAAATATCCAACTGATAAGGACCAATTTTGAGTGTGATATTCCGTAAGCCGGGATGTAACTCTCAGTGTCATGGATTGTGGCACAGTCACTTGTTAGAAGTGGCCACAGACGCTAGGCTCGCAAAGGACAGAGGGCAGTCCGAAAAGTCATGTTTATCAGGCATCCACACATAGTAAGAAGATGGAGGGTTTCTCCCGTTCCGTCGAAGAATAGATTTGTGGAGTGCGCACCCCAACTCACGTAAAGAACACGAACTGAGACGTATGGTATGCCGTACAAACATCACAATATTTCGATTCACTGCAAAGACAATGATCGACATCGGATCCGCGATTTGAATAGTGCCGAAAGACAATTGAAAAAGGCATTGTTTCGAGGTGAGTTTGCTGCTGCTCAGTTAGCTCATGCGGTGTCTACTTGTCCAGCTTTCTTACCTTCCCAAGTAACTTCAGGCGCTCCGAAAAATTTTGGTATGCTTGCTCTAAGGTTATGCTGCTGGCTGCCGTACACTTGTTTGGAAATCTCCTCTCACCTGGTCTTCAGAAGGGAGGAGAATGTCGGCCGTAACTCCGCTCATTTCGACTTCGAAGTTCCCTACACTGAAAATTTCGGAGCCAGTGTCGCAGTTTGCATGCTATTGAAACATCCTTTAGCCCAACTCAGCTATCGCTTTCGAGCTGTCTGCAGCAGCCGCGTTTCGCCCGATTTCAACTCGATGGAAACTGACCTTGCCAAACTAATGCTTTAAGGTCTTCGATTCAAACCTTCAAGAAATAGTCAGGCCAAAGTCCTCTCGAAGGACAGCAGCAGTGTAGGAAAGGGAATGAAATGGATTTCTCGACGACAGCCCATCCTAAGAAATTTCTCAAAAAATATCTTCTACATGTGTGACAGCATCCCAAAACCCGCATTAAGTTCTGAACAACCTAATATTATCGGTATCGTCGTACTAGACTGATTAACGCCACTATTTTACTTAAGCACAAGCTTGCGTCTGTAGGCAGGGATAGCCGAGTGGTTAAGAGGTTAGACTCATGTCTGCACCTCTGAAAACCCGCGAGTTCGATCCCTGCCGAGGCTCTAAACCATGCCTTGCAAAAATTGCAAAAATGGTTCTAGTACCAGCGTCAGGCCCAGGTTGACAGGCCGGCTGATGAATACCCCAGTCACACCAACATGTCTAAAAGTTGTCAAAGAATCAGTGATAAAGCTAGGACGTCACCCGGAAGTGGCGCGCAGAACCCCCGCCCGAGTTCTGTGGTCAGTATGCGAGGGCTACCGAGGAGGGAACGGCCTCGGCCAAAGAAGCTAGTTCGAATTGGAACTGTGAACGTAGGGTCGCTAACTGGAAGGTCCCGAGAGGTTGCTGATCTGATGACGCGCAGAAAAATTCAAGTCCTATGCCTTCAGGAGACGCGATAGGAAAGAGGCCAAGGCCAGGGAAATTTATTTATTTATTTATTGAATTAAAAAGAAAAAGTCAGTTAAACAACAACACTGATAACATTGATAACGATACAAACCAGAACAAAATTTTAAAAAAATGGAGAAGAACGAAGCTAAGAAGTGGAGGAAATAAGAGAACTCAAAGGGTGACCAACCTCCAGAGTAATAGTAGTAACGAAATACTAAGACAGTAACCTGCTAAACGTAAAACTTATGCGTATTTCTTTTTAACTGTGCGATGCTACTAGGCACTGCGAACTTTTTAATAAATTTGTTGAATTCCAATGAAGCCCTTGCTACGTAAGAATTTACGTA